TGGTGGAAATGAGCGATACCTTTTTATACGCGCATCAATCTCTCCGGTTTACGCATGCACCCTGGAGATTCCATATCTGCTCGGTACAGATATATTACCTTTATACTGAAATAGCTTTTAGAGCAGATATTGTGAGGTATTGAAGTTGAGAACAGAAATTACTTCTTGTCTGCTGTAGATAAACGGATATTTTAATATATTCAATCTCTGGATTTACGTTTATAATCATGATAATACACGACCGAATGACATTAGTAACTTTTATTTTAATTTTGAAAAGTACTTGTTTCAGCGATTAATTTATGTTTAAAACGATTAATAATTAATTTCTAAACCTTTAACTTTGTGTTATCTCGAAAACTGATCGGTTCATCTTTCCTCCTCTTTCATCTCTGTGACACTTCATGTTAATTTCAGTTGAGTGTATTGACAGTATCCTATGGCAGCCGAACAATAATTTAACCGTGCTGTAATAATACCTCGACAACCAACAAGCTACCCGTGTTTTCATCCTAAACTGATTTTCTCATTAACACTTCACATGCGTAGACAAACTGAAATGCAACAGCACCGTTAAGAAAATGTGAAATAACAGTAAACTATAGATTTACAGAACGAGCTAATGTGACTCGTATTGACTTTCATAAACGATATTTGGTAAATGTTTAGGTCGATTTTTATCGATGTAGATACGCAAATTGTCTACTTTTAAACGTCCAACTTCCAACATCTAAATGAACGAATATTCATTCCTCTAAAAGTCATACAACACACTGTACAGTAAATACCCGTAAATCTAGTTTTAACTCTTTGCGGACGAAGATTCTTTGAAACGTACAAAACCTTCAGCAGATCGAGCTAAATTATACATCAATTCGTTAATTAATAGAAAAAAAGGAACCTGCACGCTGATCTCTTGCTGTTTGACTAATTAAATCATTCGTTCGCGACTCAGTCTTCCAAATACGGACATTTCATCTCGTCGAAATGTCGACATTCGTCCGCAAAGAGTTAATCCATTACGTCTTATAATCACTTGATCCAAAACTCGGACAAATTTGTGACGCTGATAAGCTCACTGTCTCGTTATACTGTTACCACCAATTCATTTTAACTGTGGATAACCTCTCGCAGAGGCTTCTAGGCTTGTTCAATATGCCTTCCGCGTCGAGCATATTTTCTTGTCGCCCCTATTGACAGCACGGCTTCTCCGCGTAACTCTTCGCCGACACATTTTAATATCCATCGATCTTGCCGCGATACAGAGTGACCAACACTAGGTGAAAAAGAGGAAGGAAACAATCCCACGAAATTAGGGTAGGCGTATAGCCAAGGTACGGTACTCGATGAAAGCTACGATGAGAATGATACATAAAAACACATGCCCCTGTTTTATAATGAAAGCGTTCGCGTTGAAGCCACGCGTATAAATAAATCCAGTAATTGCTATACAATACAAAACATTTGCGTTTACAACATACTTCTTTGGTCATGTATCACCGTGCGGTGCTTGAAAACCATTAGACTGCGAATTTTTATGCATTTACAGAAAATATGAGAGTGAAGAATTGCATAAAACAAACACGATACGGAAAGATGTATAAAATATTTAGAGTGCAATATTTTCATAGTACTCATGAAAAACCTCTATTTGAAAGCAACTTGTCGATAGACATCTTTCTCTATTGTAATTCTATTTTCCTTATTGTCTTCTTAAATAGTTGAATTTTCATAATGATCCATAATCTAACGATAATTATCGTTTCAGAAAATTATAATTATCCAGATTCAGTAGCATTCAATAGTTCCATTACAAACACACCAAAGAAATTAGTATATAAATATTCTATCGTTGTGATCAACGCACAGCTCTCTTACCTTGTGTCGCGGCTCCGCTAAAAACGCGCCCCTACTCTTATTGGCGATACATACATAATCGAGTTTGGGTGATCGTCGATGGTCAACAGCGTCGCGTGTGACACCGGACGTAACGCGCTCTTGCGTGTTCACTTTCATCTGGTTCATCTAACAACAGGAGTTAATAGCGTGCTCGGCGATCATCGCCGGCAGATTTACGCGATGGGAAAACAAAAGCAGGGCGCGGCGTTTGCCGTGAGCTACTGAAAATCTGCGGCCGAGGGTAAGACTGCTCTTTCGAGCTTCCTTAACGTGTTAATCTCGGAAGCGTTGCCAGATAGTGGCGGGCATAATGCCGGAAGATAAATAACCGGCTACTTTATGAAATACAATTCGCATTCGAACAAAGCAGTTGTATGGTTTGGGCACTGGGAATTCAGTTTATGAATCGCGATGGACGTCCGGGATTTTCGAATTCCATTGTTCTTCAATTTTGTTCCGTTAATTTGGCAAAGAACTTTGTTACACTCGTGTTCATATGTTGTTTAACATAGGATTGTTGGTGATTGATATAAAAATTTCAATTTGGTAGATTAATCAGTGACAATAGGAAGATTATAACGATTGTTCCTTATTGAATGTTTCAACTCGTTAACTGTCGAGTCGGTAACATATACGGATTCATGAAAAGCAAAGATAAAATTTATTAATTTCTCGAAAATCAGATGTATGGTTCGGTTATTTTTTGAAATGAAAAATGTTTGATACCAGAAATTTAATGGCAATAATTTTATATCGATAAGAGGAATAAGAGCAATGCTCGATTTGAAATTTGTAATTAATAGTGTTTACCGAGAAAATTCGAAGGAGTTAACAGTGAAAGAAAACTGTGCTTGTAATTTATTAACTGGTTGAATAAATTAAAATATATACTGCCAGCAGTGTGTACGTGTGAAATTAGCTCGCTTCCTTACTGCCCGGTAGATCGATCGACGCGAGTGCAGCGAAATACTAACAAGGTATTAAATAGAATTACGATGGGACATTAACGCAAAGCGCGACTCGTTACTAACAACAAAACGTAAATGCGAAGTCGTTAAGGAAAGTATTATAGTTTATAATCGACGGTACACGATGTACAAACTTGTTTCCCGCGCATAACCGTCGCTCAAAGATCACGCGACGAGAAAAGCTACGAAAATCCCTCTCATATTCTTCGAGATCCCTGCCAGCCGTGCACCCAAGCCGCGGAGGAAGGAAAAAATCGTGCGGAACAAGCTCAAGGAAGTTGCGGTTGTCGGCGTGCAACGCTGATAACAACCTATATCGCAATTACGTACGTTTCGTTGATATTGCGGCATTATCATAAACAAAAGTGATTAGCATATCGCGCACAGGAAAGGGAGGGATTATATTTTAGAGGTATATAAAATATATAAAAAATTTCAAAGCGGAGCACCTAGATTTTTTTTAAATTTACATTCGATAACTATACTATTTTCAGAGAGAAAATATTTGTGTGGACGTTGTTGCGTTAAATTTGATTTCTTTGTAAGAGAAAAATTGGTAGGAACTTGTACGACTGACAATATTGAAGGATTGTAACATTCGATTGTAGTGTAAATCCTCGCGATGATAAGTTTAAGGTCGAAGCAGATGAGAATTGTATCGTGTCGTTTAATATGCGAAGTAAATATAGCCTTTAATACAGGAAATACATTTCCATTTAATTTCCGTTTCCATAAATCGTACCATAAAAGTAATTCAATTTGCATACATACACACAATCTCACTTATACCGATCGTAATCTACTCTCGTTCCGAAGTGCATATACGCCGTGATACATTATGTACGTATGTACTTATGAAAATAACGGAAGCCCAGTGATTTCTATTCATTGCCGGCCGAAAAAAGTTCAATTCCTACCTCCTGGAATTGATAAGTACGCGAACTGAATTTCCTTCCCCTAAAACAACCAAGTAAATAAATTTAATTTCTACCCGCGAAATACATAAATGAATATTATGATTTCTTATACACTGATTATAATAAAAATTTTTGAGTGTCCCATATAAGATATGTAGCTTAAGAATTCTTTTAAACAAGAATCTCAGAAATTAGTTCACTATGGTAATCATCATTACCAAAGCAAAATTCAAAAATTCTCATCGACCAATTATTGGTCGCTAAATGTCAATTAAAACTGAATTAGCCTTAACCCTAGATCATTAAACTCTACACAACCAATAAACACTTGTCCCGCATACATAAACAGTTACAACAGTTACTTTGACAAGACATTAACCCCTTACGGTGAAATGACGAGTATAGCTTGTCATTAATTTTCCGTGACAAACCGTACAATGACGAGTCACACTCGTCATGCGACTAAACGATTAAATCATACAGGAAAGGGTTAATGCTCTGAGGTCAAAAACAATTTTCAACAATTAACTCTTTACGCACGAATGTCGACATTTCGGCGAGACGAAATTTTCATATTTGGAAGACTAAGTGGTAAACAAATGATTTGATTACTCGAATAGCAAGAGATCAGCACGTGGTTTCCTACTTTTCTATTGTTCGAGTAAATGATATACAATTTAGCTTCATCTGTTGAAGGTTTTGTATGTTTCAGAGTATCTTCGTCCGCAAAGGGTTAAATTATCAAAATACCATGTGTCCATGTTCGACACGGTACAACCCTTCAAAAACCATCACATTACCAAATTAGCGGACAGTCAAGTAGTCCACGGTTCGCGATGCTTCCCAACAACCGATCATCTAGTAGATCGGTTGAACGTGTCGAACCGAATCCCGATACCAGCTCGAAAGTGAGCGGCATCGTCGATCCCATATCCCGATTCCGTACTCGTCGCACGGTCTGCCACACTTTCTGCTCGTGACACAGAGTGCCGTACGGTCGCGGCGGACGCGGGCTACCCCGAGGACTACGCGAAGCTTGGCTCTTTGGTGTAGGTGAGCGGAGTTTCGTCGGTGTCCGCGTAGGTGTGCCGCGGTACTCTGTGTGTCCGGAGGACCTTACGTGTGCGCGGACCCTGTTCGTGGACCCTCTGCGCGTTTCCACCATCAGCAGGAGGTGGATCGGAAGCGCGCATGCTCCTACGGCCGAGAATCTCCCCAGTCAGGGTAAATCTGCCACCGAATCAAGACGTGGTGCGTGTCGCGTCGTCCTATATACGATATGTCGCGCACAAAGACGCAAGGTTCTCGCTGAGAGAAAAGAAAAAAAGTAAAAGAAATTATCGAAAAACCCGCTTCTCTAAACCGTGATCGCTATAAAACGGGGATGAAATCTTCGATCATCCACCCCGCAACACAACCACCTTCTCCTATTGTGTGAACAGTGCGAACGATTGTTCAGTGTGCCGCGGACAAGTGGATCGAGATCGGTGGTTCTAGGCGGAGCGATTCGAGCACGTGAGGACATGTCGGGAAGAGGGTCGCCCGGAGCCCTGAACAGGGCCGGCGCGAGGACAGCGGAATCATAGCCTGTCCCTGAAACGCTGCAGCGATCTGTTGACACTGGAACGCTGACTAAGTCTTCCGTGCCAGAGTGGAGACTTTGAAGAGACCCTCGCGGCCTGTAGATGCGGCGGACCCTGATCTCGTTTCGAATTCTCTCCGGCGTTGGAGGATAATACATAGCACGGGACAATTTTCGACTTACTGTGATCTTGGCGTTGAATATTCGAGAAAAAACGTTTAACACATTCGGGTGTCGTGGTTATAGTGTCGGCTACTTGTTTCAGTGAGTAGCTATGGTCTGAAAACAATTGTCTCGATAGACTGTTTTCGGAAGAAGACATCGGGAGATCTAGTGCCTAGCTAGTAGCGGAAGATCGGGACTCCTCGGAGACCGATCGAAGAGTTCAACGAATCAAGTTCTGCGAGCCTGCCTCTGTGACGATCGACTCGATTTACCAGTGACACGTATACAAGTGTTTGCTCCAGGCACAGGCTGGTACCGTTCTATCGAACTCTGTGAGCAGTGTTCGGAGGTTCTAGGGATTGTTCATGGATTATGGTAGAACGGCACCCGTGATGATCAAGTGAACGAGCTCGGGCTGATCCGATCGACTCGATTGATGCCCGGCCGAGCCTCGGGATCTCGGTGAACGTTGGTTGCCGGTTCGGACGCGATGGCAACGCGATCGAGGTAAGGATTTTCCCGCCGTTGTGTACGGGTACGCTAGTGTCAGTGCGTGGGGCGGTGCGTCGTTGGTCCAGTGAAGAGGATGTGAATCGCTTCGGGTACCAAAGTGAACGCGCCATCAAACAATTGCGGACATGGCTTTGAGGTGGCAGGCGAGGCTCTCCATTGCTGCCATACTCTTCATGTGTACTGAAGGTAATTATCGATACGACCACTCTTGGATATAGCGTCTTCGGGGTGTTGATCAAGATGAACTTTACGGGTGGGATTAGAATTTGGAGCAACCGCGGTGATTGAACTTACAATTGTCAAGGAATCGTTGAGACGTTGTGTATTCGGATTCATGATAATGGATTGAGTTTCTGGAATTATGTGAGAGTACTTTTTATTACCGATTTGAATGGGGGATAGGGGGAACGTGTATAATTCGCTGTAGATACATTCGTTAGATGACAGGAATTGTAAAGAAATTACGGGTATCTTTAATCAACTACTGCTCAGTGTATTGACTCTTGAGCTACACTCGAATGTGATACATTTAAATTGTTTGTATGACATAGTGGAAGGAATAAGTGAATTGTTAGATAATGGAACCGATAATACTTTAACATCGCTTTTCACATAAAGGTTTAAAGCTTCCACTAAGAAACTTCTTCGTGTTCTTCATTTTTTACCTAACAGCACTTCTAAGATACTGCAAGCTTAACAAACTCGCAAAGTTCAAACCTTATACCCTACACCGATAATCACCTACTCGACATTAAGAAAAACTGAAAAAGTAGGATCACTTACTTCTCGACCAGTTAATAAGAGACCGAGATTTTCAAAGACGACAGTAATTATCCAAACAAGGATCCCACCGTATCTTTGATCGTACGCAGAACAGGCACGTCCGCGACCGCCAACCGACACGCGGCCGCCGTCTTGGAAATCCGTGACCAAGCGGAGGTAACGACCGGTGACATTTGGGGGTCCGCGTAACAATCGGGCCAGAATCCCCGTTTGATGGCGACAGACGGACCGTGAGGAGTTATTCGATCGAGAACGTAGCAGCTATCGAGCGGCAAAATGGTACAGCTAATGGAATTACCGTCGTGCATGCGTGCGTGCGACGCGAATTTATCGTATGCATTATTCATAAGTCAGTCGCCTGTGGCCCTGCCTCGGGAATGATACACGGAGGGCGTCGGAGGGGGCGGCAGACTAGAAAGCGAGCGAAAGGAACGAGCGAGAGGCAGAATGGTTTTTCTTTCCGCCGTGAAACGCGACACGGTGGTCGTCTGTTACACGAAGGCCCGTTAATATCGACCACGCAAACTAATTACCAAGCTCGCGCGTCAGAACGCCACGAAAATGAAACGCGCCTACCTAGTCGCTGCCGCCGCCGTCGCCGCCGTCGTCGCCCTGGGACAACGCTACGTATACCACGACTTTACACCTCGTTTACGCCATTGTCGTTCTAGGCGAACAACTTTGGCAATTTCGTTCGACGCTACACACGCCCGCGGCTGACTTTGTTCGCGGCGCCAAGTTTGCTCCGGTAAATTAAACGCTTGTCTCGGGACCACGCGATTTCCAGCCGCGGAACTTCCGCCGCCGTGTCGCGTCACGGCCGACCGAAGATCGCGGCTCCCTTGTTCGCGCAACGGCACACCTGCCCGAGGGATTCGATCGTTTCGGCCCGCGTTAATCTATCACCCGGCATTCTTGCCTCCTGTCCGTGACACGTTCATCCCGTATTCATGAATGGGCGGACGCTCAATCTAAATAATCTCAATATTTTACGGAACGGCCGACTTTGGGGTCCTACATACGCGTATTCTATAGAACCACCGGGGATTTTTGCTGCTCGTCGAAAGCCGATAGATGTTCGCATGTGGAATAGAATTGTCATCACGCGGAATGTTTAAGAATCGGCAAATCTTTGCTTTGTAGTTGGTATACAGTAACTGAGGTTAATTTAGAAGTAAACCTTCTAAATTAATAAAATTTGTATAAGCCACCTGATTGTAATCTTGAGACGGTTTCATGAAAATATTTCATACATTGTAGTGGACAGATTGAATTTATTTCCGGAGTTTGTTGGAGGAATTATTAATTGAGATTATTTATAAAAGTGCGCAGAATTATTCTAATCGGTGATGATCTTGATGATTAATGTATTATGAAGCTTATCATCTCGTAGTTCGCATTAATTTCGGAGAGCTTCGTTGAAGTGCGGAAACTGCTAAGTTATTTGTATAACGCGTCGTGTGGTAACGCGTTTGAAATGAGACAAATTAAACCGCGCGCGCCGAGGTACAGACGATTCTTGTGGGAATACCAAGTTTCCTGGGATATACTCGTTCCGGCGAGTTCGCCTTCCCTAGTTTTAGCGCATCGTTCTGCTATCTTGAATGATTCCCGCGTTCTAAACCCCCACCACGTCACGTTGGTGGGCTCGGTCGTCGTTAAGACGTACGAACCGATTCTTTTAATCGTTCGCTAAAGCGATCGTTACCGTCGCGTTCATTCAAGGGTTGAACGCCGTGGAAGTAACGACCCCAAATTGCGAGCGCGCACCGAAACGACGACCCACTGACACATTTCGCCGCGCGCTCGTTATTTTTATCGACGAAAATTACTCTGACCGATTGCGTCGATCCTTCCGTTTCATTAATCTCGCCGTTCCATGGGAGGAGTAAAGATCGACAGCCGTGGCGAGGCGATCCGTCTCTGGCACCGTTACCGCGTTGAACGTCGGACAGTTTCGTGAAAGAAAATATACGTACCTGGTGTACGAATATAATAGAAATATTTAAAAATGTGATAGAAGTAAATTATTTGATTTTACTGTGTTCTTGGGAGCTATTTGACCCAATCACATCTACTTTTACTCATCACCAATTTATTTGTTGGATCATTTATAATATATTCGCGTGATCACTATGTTAGGGGTGTTTTTCAATTTGGCGACAGAACGAGAAAATTACAACTAGACTAGAGGATTATAACTAGGAATTTTAACTTTTCAATGATACGTTATGTGTACAGATAAACTGAGGATCGTAGTAGAGTTAACCCATTGTCTATTTTATTCGCGTTATACTCGTGAAATTGGTTAATTTTCAATAATTTAAGAGAATCCAAAGGAATATTCTGTTTACTTCGAAGACAAAGCATTTATAGTAGCAGAACAGTTTACATTATATGAAAAAGGCCAACTGAATCGTGTAATTTTCCTTCCCTCATTTATCTTGCTACATGTCACCATTTATTTAATATTACCTATAATACAGAGAAACCTCCGAATTACAAACGTTCAGTCAATTAATTACCGTAATTTGATTTAGGTCGGGATGAACGGTGACTTCTACGGTATTCAACGTGTTAAACCCGACACGCGGATACGGGTTGTGCGTTCGACCTCACTTACAATTAATCGCAAAATATTATTTCACCGGTGCTCGCGTGTTAATTACGAGCGCTTGTCTCATTTACATCCGAGCACCAGGCTGGTCGTAGCTACCTGCCGGCGATACCCGGCGGACGTCATCGGGGTCACTTGGTTGAATCGTAGACAGCGCGGTACACAGTGTTGCAACAACGCCGACAACGTCGACGCAGCAATAAAGTTTATGCTAATGGTCGTTATAAAATCCGTCGTCGTTTTATGAATGCCGTTACCTTCGTGTCCGCTACGCTATCCGATTTGAAACAATGCGAGTGGATATTCATCCCGTGGGAATAACGTTTGGCTGCTCGGAAAGTTTCGACTATTTTTGAAGATTCGCGTAAGCCTTGCGCTTCGTCGTTGTTATTCAACGAAAGCATTTGTTTCCTCCGAATAAAAAATTTCTTTCTCCGAGACTTTCTTCAACTTCGTTTGCGAGAAGATCATGGATTCGTTGTATGCATACACATTGATATCAACGCCTCTTGCGTATAAATAACGACTCGTCCTTTCCCGTGCACCGTGCCATACCGGTGGACATGATAAATGAAATCGACGATTTATAACGCTAGACATCGGACTGTCACGAAGTAACGGCGGGAAGCTAGAAAGTTAGAGGGTGGAGCGAACCGGGCGCAGCAAATGGAACGTCTTTCTCGCGCAGTTATTAGAACGGCGCGGAAAATAAATCCTCAAATTGCCCGGCGTCATTCTATCTCCACCGAAGCCGGAGGAAGGTGGTCTGGCCGAGGCCGAGTCTTTTTTCAATTCGAATGGAAATTACATCCAGCGAAACGCTCAGATTTTTCGGGCGCTCGGCAGCAACGCCGAAGTGCAAATTGGAAGCTCCGGACGCCGCGGCGGGCGAGTTTCGTTGATAGTTTCGTGTTACCGGAACGATTGAAATTCTGCCAACGACCGGCCGTAAACGGTTTGCGGGCTCGTTAATGCCGTTATTACTCATCCTTAATGACCGACTGGGAATTTAAATATTCGCTCGATACCGGGATCCGTTCACTTTTTCCGGTTAGACGATCCACGGACACCGGGCATCCGCTGCGATAACCGTCCGGCGTTGTTGCGTGAGCCGTCTCCGAGCGACTTCCGCCGTTTTCCCGGCCCCTCGCCCCTTCGTCCCTTAGCAGGCTCGCTCGCGAACCACCCCGAGCTAACCTGGAACTTTTGGGAATCTTATCTTATTGCTTCGCTTCGTCGCCGCCGAGTTTCGTGGGTTTCGGTGCACGCTATCGAACTCGGTCGACGGAGAAGGAACCGGCGTGATTCCTTTATCTGGATGATAAATTGGACTATCCCGCGCCCGTCGCTCGGCTTCATGGTGCGGGAGGACGATCGCGACTACTCCCGCATCGAATCGAAGCGTTATAATTCCCTCCGACGAGAGAGATCGGCTGATTTATGCCGGATTCAATTTCACGGAAGCTCGGCAACGCCTCTCTAGGTGTTCCGGTTCGTAATTCGTACGCAGTTGGAACGTTATCCTCGTTAATTCGAGATTAATGCGGGATTCAATTTGGAGAAAGTACAGTAACGCGTCTTTGGTTGTTGGAATCTGTATGCCCCGTGAACGGCATTGTCTGCGTTAATTCAAGATTTACGTGGGATTTCATTTTGGAAAAGCATTGTGACCACTTTGCTTGCGGCAGACTCTTACTCATTGATAGTCACGGAATTATGCCTGCTAAAGATAGATCATATTTCCAAGGCAATGTTGAGATTTTCGTAGACACTAAGCCCTCTCGCA